TATTTCAAAACGGGTGAGGTGTGGATTTTGAGTATGCGCAATGCGCGTATGTACAACCATATTACAAGATTGGATGGGCATATATACTACATTAGGATTTCAAGAATGCGCAAGAACGGAATCGAGATTAGAATTTGAAGAATTCGTTTTGCGACGGATGAGTGGCATATTTTAAATACAAGAAAAGTCCACATTGGTTGACCCAATCAGCGGCCCGTGAGTGGGCAGTCAGCAACCCGTGAGCGGGCAGTCAACGACCCGTGAGCGCGGACGTGATCGTCCACCGTGTTACCAGTGGATCGACGTCGGTTGCCGCGCATGCGACAGAAGGGGCGAGATAGGGCAGCAATGCGCTGGCCGGCGGCGAGCGACCACACGCTCGCGTCAGGCGGACAGGCGGGCCTAAATCGACTTCTACAGACGAGATTAATAAATCACGATGTTCCGTCTCTGCATGCGGGAAACAAACGCACCTAAAGGACAGCTTCAAGCGCTTTCTCGGCGTGTATCTTCAATGCATTTAGCACGGGTTTGACGCGTCGATCCGCCTTCAAGACATCTTTCCAGACTGAATTTCTCAGCACCTGGCTTCTGCGAGGATCTCGACAATCCAGAAGGCGGCGCTGGAAGAAGTCCTCGGCATTTTCGCTCCACCATCCTCGACCAATTGAAGATCCATTCCAAGTATCAGGCGATGGCCACCATGACGCAGTTCCGGAGGAATGTTTGCCGATGATGAGATTGATCTCATCAGCCGTCAGCAAGTCGTCGACGTATTCAACGTTGTCAACGACAATGTGAAGGCCGATGTTGTCATGATGAGCTCTATCCGACGGAGGGCCGAGCGCGACAGACTCATCGTACATGTGCTGGACGATGCGCCATATTATACCGCCTGCTAGGAACGCTGCACGAAGGACCTTGCGATGATCCCGACAAGACAGGTAGTCACTTAGGTCGTCCACATACGATTGAAAATCCCGTATGACGCGGACGGGCGAGTGGATCACGATTTTCCGCGACGACGGCCTCTTCCTCCGGTCGAGTAGATTAAAAGGGACACCCATCTGCAACAACCAGACGGCGACGTCTTCAACGGCTTGCATGGCGCTGGTGATGATCTCCAGAACGAACGCGGGATCCTGAAGGTAAACAACACAACGATCCTCGATGCCAAGGGACCGCAGAGCCCAACCATTTTGAACCGGTACGCAGCGCCAGTTGTTCGTCAGCCTCATCTGAAGTATGTGCGATGATTCCAACCGGTATAGCCATGACGGGGGCGGAGGGAACAAGGCTGAGTTGGCAGGGGCCGACATCTTGGAACCGAGGATAAGCGACCCGATGAACCCGAGCACCTCATTTGCGGTCTGAGCCGATATACCAGCGTCGAGATGTTCCTCACGGTCACCCGGCAAGAAGTACCCCAGGACTTTATAAGCGTGATATAACGTATCGACCTGGAGGTTTGTGGTATTAACGGGGAAAGCTGTACCCGGGAGGGGCAGAAGACCGAAATGCTCCCGCAACAGTCTAAGAGGATGCCTCACGGGGAACGTCATGTCGTCCAAAAACATGGGATCGGGACGTCGTCGGTTAGGCACGAAGACAGCACCATCATCCTGGGCATTGGTAGTCCCGTCAATGTCCACCGGATCCACATCCGACGGAGCAGGAGTGAGACTAGGAGGACCAGGGGCATCGATGTCCATCGGATCCACATCCGAAGACAGCGACGCTGTAGGCGTCGTCCCGCGTGGGGTAGTATTAACCAACGACGCATCCGGCGATACCGATACAGGCACCCACGAAGACGTCGAAGCCCCCGACACGGTCCCGAACGAGGGACCTGACAAAGTCGAAGTGGACGGCGTAGTCGACCGAAGCGGGAACGCAGATGATTGGGTCGGAGAGGTCGGTGGTGGCGCAGAAGATGAGGCTGGCGACGCCGTCGACAACAACGATGGTACTTGGGATGACGATGACGACACCGCAGACAAGGGCAGGGACGACACAGACGACGATGGCGGGGGGGCCGGCGCAGACGACGAGGGCGTGAGGGCTGGCGCAGAGGGCGAGGGCGGCGTTGGCATCGGCCTGGACGTCGAAGCTGAGGCCGGAGCGGGCTCCGACAGTGAGGGCACACGCATCGGCTCGGGTTCCCCGGGCGGGAGGGGGGGGTTGAAGTCAATGTCACGGTACAACGGTGTAGGAACGAGTTCATCGGGGTTGTCGTCCTCGTCACCGTAAGCAGACACATAGTCTTCGTCTTCGTCCATGCAGGCATAAGGATCGCGCTTCTCCTCCTCCTCCTTCTTCTTCCAATAGGAGCCATGGGTAACAAAGTCATAGCTTAAATCCCATTCGTCGAGGACGGAGTCATACTTCTTCTTCCAAGGGTTCCTCAAGTCATTCCATATCGTTTCCCGATTCCACTCAGGAACCCTCTGACGAATACCGTCCTGCCACTCAAAGATTACAGCTGTACCACCTTGCGAAGGCAAAGGATATCTGGCTGCGTTGGCTTCACGGGACAATCGGCTTTGGCGGAGTCGAGGATTCTCGAGGTGGTTGATATAATAGTTGTGGTAATCGCGGCGACGGATGTGGAAAGTGCGGAAATCCTGACCCTCTTCCCATCGAAGACTGGGTATAACCTCCCCGGCGTGATACCTTTTCTTCTCGTGGTTTCGCTGGGCGTCGAGGACCTGTGTGTTGCCAAATATATGCGGCGGGCGAACTGCCGGTACGATGCCGTACTCCGTCAGCGAAGGCTCCATACGCGGTACGGGCTGATACGGTGTGGACGGGCGGGGCGGTGACGCAGTTCCCCAGGTACTCATCCCCCAGTCCTGCGAATGCCAATCGCTTGATCCCCAACCAGGTGAAGGATCAGCCCAATTTCCCGGCGTCCCCCAGTTGGAAGACGAAGGGGCCGGTAAGCCGGTGCTTGGAATCCACGGCTCGTCCTGCGACGGGAAAGAACCAGGTACAGACGTCGACGTCGACGCGGCCGTGGTACGAGAACGGCGCGGGCGGGGTGCGGGGGACAGTGGGTGGCCTGTCAGGTCGATCGCACTGCGAGCTTGTTCAGGTGTGGGTCGAAGGTCCGCCGATAGTTCGCGTGGCAATTTCAAAAGAAGGGTCTGTGCGTCACCCCAGTAAATGTAGATCGGTACGTTGGCGTTGATGAAAAATCGAAAAGAGCAGTCCGGAAGCAGACTCCCCGGGTACCAATAGAACCCGATCCTGGGCAAACTGCGATCGTTCCGAACCACCCACGACTTCGACAAGACGTCGACGAACGCGGGGTCCAGACGTGGACCGTAATTGTAAGTTTCAAGTATGGTGCTCCAGGCGTCTGGGTTGCTTGCGGTATCATTGACCATGGCGACCAAGAACGCGAGTTTGGTTGCAAGGAGTACGAGCGCACGCCTCGCAGCGAAAGCATTATCGCGAGCGAGGGTCTCGCTGGTCCATTCCATGTAGGAGAACGACGAGGGTGGATCGAACGGACGCAAAAACCTGACCATGAACGTCTGAGGCAAAAAAGCCATCGTGGAGATCCACTTCTCCAACCATGCGATGGCGGTGAGGAACCGCTCTTCGAGTCCTGCCCAGCTCTCGGCGTGCACACATCGGAAGCAAGACTCCTCGTTGGGGATCATATTCATTTTGTCGCGAGGCACATAGGAGAGAGACTCCAACGGAGTGCCGTGGAATTGGGTAGGTTGAGGGTAAAACGGGGCGAAGTAGCAGCTATTGTGTAGCCATTGACGTTCGTGCAGATGTTTGATACGGTACTCGAGGGGAGGGACACTCATTTCAGGCTGCGTCGGGGTCCCTTCCGGCGGTGCATGATTGCGAGTAGGCGACGCCCAGAGGACTCCGTCGCGCCTGAACACGTACAATTGCCTGTTTCTGTATTGCCATCAGTTGCTACTCAAACAGGAAAGTGCGAAACAAAACTGACCCAAGCATGACTCCAACGAACGGTTCTCAAGCACGGAGGGATGCGTTATTCGATATTCGACTGCAGAGAGATAATATTAGGGTCGCCTTACAGAAGAAAGTACCAAAAAAAAACGCGCCTTTAGTACGAGGACGATGCACGAGCGGTGCCGAATACCTGCCCCAGAGGACCACACCTCTGAGACGAGTACCAGCCGACCAACGGGATGACAAGAGCAGACGTAGGTTCGAATCCACACTCAATGGCGTTGGGTCCACACTCAACGGCACCGAGACGAGACCACGGCGTTTGCGAGGGCGAGAGGAACGGCAGTGAGGCTGAGACAACAGAGGGACCACTCCCTCTGCGACGTCGAAGTAAGAGGATAAGGGGAGAGAAAGGAGCGGAAGGAATAGATATACAATATCGTCACCGTCCGCCGACTGTCCCACCGCAGTGCCAAGAGGGACCAATGACGCACCAATCCCGCGCCGCCGTCGCATTCGGCCGAGAGCACCCCACCAATGGGGAGTCGGCATCAGTCGGCACGTTAGCGGCATCTACCCCACGAGGCGGCACACGAGGCGGCGCCTACCCCAGGAAATGGCGCACGACGCGGCCTTTAGCCAAGAAGTAGCACACGACGCGGCATTTATCACATCACCCTTTAATTTGTTTGGACTTCGCCGCTCATCTTCCCTGGCCTTGACCTTCGCCTTCCTCGGCACCGTCCTCGCCGTTGCCTTATGCTTAGCCATTTCCTTTCGTTCAGCCCGCCTCGCGATGTGGATCACGAGCACACGACGCGGCATTTATCACATCACCCTTTAATTTGTTTGGACTTCGCCGCTCATCTTCCCTGGCCTCAACCTTCGCCTTCCTCGGCGCCGTCCTCGCCGTTGCCTTATGCTTAGCCAATTCCTTTCGTTCAACCCGCCTCGCGATGTGGATCGCGAGCGCAGCCCTGTCGTCCTCGTGGAGGTCGTCGCTGTTGTCGCTGTTATCGCTGTCGTCGCTCTCCTCGTTGCCATCCTCGTTGCCATCCTCGTGGCCATCCTCGTTGCCATCCTCGTGGCCATCCTCCTTGCCATCCTCGTCGCCATCCCCCTCGCCTTCCTCGTTGCCTTATCCTGAGCCATCCCCTTCTGTTTGAACCCGCCTGCAATGTGGATTGATGTTCTCTTCTGCTGAAACCCTCATCGCCATTGCCATTGCCGTCGCCCGTGCCGTCGCCGTAGCCTGATCTTAAGCCTGCTCGCGATGTGGATCGCGAGCGCAGCTTCATCGTGTTGTCTCCTTCTTTGCACCGTCTCTCGTTTGCTCGCGATGCGGATTGCAAGCGCGGGCAAGTCACCGTAGTCTCCTCGCCGGCGTGAATTGTGCGGCCTCTGTAAGTCTTCTTGACCTGATCCCATTTACTCTCATTCTTACGTCTCGGTACTCCATCAGCCCAGCTCCGTCAGAGCGCACCGACTAGTACCCGAACGGAACCTCAAGGGCAACATATGTGTCGGCTTGGACGTTGGACATCGGCGTGAGTTGCGCCCGATATCCAGACCGTCGACGCCGTAAGTCCTGATCTCGTCCTGTTTCTTATACCGTCTCATGCTCTTACAGGGCAGGATAGACACTTTCTGCATCTTCCATCGGCCCATTTCCGTGATGTTCGCGGTGTGGTCCGCGAACCACGGTAGACATCCGGCCGCGCTAGTGTCCATACCCATCCTCCTGTGAAACACTGCCAGACGCCGTCAGCATCCCGGAACGCAAAACCCCTGGATTCGCCAAGACGCTATGCCGTTTTTTCGTGATGTTTGCGGTGTGGACCGCGAACTACGGTAGACATCTAGCGTCCCGGTAACATCCTCGTCCATCCTTCTGCGAAACGCTGCAAGACGCCGTCAGCGTCCCCAAAAGCAAAACTCTTGAATTCGATGAGGACTACAGAACGCCGAGCAATGCTGGTCGCACAGTTCCCTGCCAGTATGACTTGATATCTGACCCAGGCTGCGTTTCCTGTTGGCCAATCAGATAATATTCACTTCCCCATTCCTGCCTGGCACGTACCAACATCTTATATATCATCCAGATGGCGAAAAGCCAACTCCCCATTGTCTTTATGATATCGCTAATCCCTCGCGCCACGTTTGTTATGGACCGTGTCTTCGGCGGCGGCTGCTGCTCCAATGGCTTCACCAGTTTACCCTTCCATATCGATATCGAGCTTGGCAATCCGCTACTCGATGTCCCACATGCAACCAAGGATTCTTGGTCATCTGCAAATGTCTGGACATATTTCAGTGATGTCGTCCTCTGGATTGTGGAATCCAACGCACCGCGACTGTTTGCGTGTATCCGCTCTCCCCGTGATGGAGGATTGCCTGCGGATGTCCCCCAGCCCTTTCGAACACGTATACATCGCCGTGGTCGCTCCCCACAACCACTGTTTGCCCTCGCTCTCCAAAAACGGCTTGCTTCGGAACCCTTCGTGTTGGTCGCCCCGTCGAGAAGACGTTAAGGCAGCTTCCCGTTTCGGTGCTATGAACCGCAAAGGCGTCCGTGTTGTCGACAAGTACTTCTCCGCGTTCCACGTCAAAAGTTCCGTTACCTCTGCGCGTTATCTGAGTTACACCGGGATCCGAAGGAACCGTTCTACTCACATTACCCTGCACACCTGACGCGGCGTGCCAACTTTGACCTCCCCCTCCTCATTACGGATCGTGTAACTGCTCATTCATGAATGCGCGTATGCCTGAGAACGCGGAGTTGCACGTACATCATGCCATCGAACATCCCGAGGACAAAGATATCCTGGTCCCCAGAGAACGCGACCGTCCTGGCGACCGTCTTCTCCATCTGCACAGCGTAGACCTCCATCACGGCGAGGGGTGTAATATCGAACAGTGCGTTAACACGGTCCCTTGTGGCAATCGCCAGCTTGAACTGGGCTGGTTGCCCGCGCGTTGCGAGGGAGGTAACCTCCGTCCCTTCTGCAACACGAATAGTATGCCACTCCTGGAGCGCACCCTCTCGCTGTCCCCAGATTTTGATGTAGCCATATGCGGTGCCTAACACGAGCGTATCGCCGATCCACTCGATGGCCATCACCGCTCCGTAGACCCGTGGGTCGTATACTGGAGTACCCCCTTGAATAGACGCCGTCTCGACGCATACCACATGGAAACCGAACTCCCCTGCGCCAGTCAGTGAAAAGACGTGTCCGGCTGTCGTGGTCCTCACCTCCACAAGCCAGTGATTTTCCGTCGGGGGAGAACGCGAGCTTATACACCGCTTTCTCATTCCGGATCTGGACACGACCAGCGCATGTGAAACGGTTGGCAGAGCGCATCCACTTTGTGAGTTCCGGCGATGACGACGACGACAACGACAACGATGACATGGTGAGTATTTAGCGTTCGTGCAGAGCTTCTGACCGTTTTATAATGCTTACATCTCCAATTGTCAGTGTCGCTCGTTGGGCGACTGCTATTGTGTCGTCTCCCTTGCGACGTTGCCTGTGCTAGCGACGTATGGAATCACCCGAGGCTCCGCTGTCTACAAGCTATTATTCCCCGCTGTCTACAAGCTATTATTCCGCGGCTTTCTTGGCAAGCGTCGATTGTCCTTCATTTGTCGACTACAAATTTGTCGTCTCCTTTCCGACGTTGCCTGTGGTGGCGATGTCTCCACCCCGTGGATCTCCTCGAGGCTTCGCTGGTTACGAGTTATTGTCTCATCGCTTTCTTTGCGATGTTGACTGCGGTGGCGACGTCCTCAGATGCCGCTCATTTGTGAATAATCATTGTTTCGTTCCCTTTGCAACGTTGCCTGTGGTGGCAACGTCTCCCCGCCACGGATCTACCGGAGGCTCCGCTGGTTACCTATTATCCCGCCGCTTTCTCTGTCATTCCCTTTGCAACGTTGCCTGTGGTGGCAACGTCTCCCCGCCACGGATCTACCGGAGGCTCCGCTGGTTACCTATTATCCCGCCGCTTTCTCTGCGATATCGCGTTGCCTGTGGTGACGTCCCGGGATGGACTTTATTGTCAGCACTTTTGTTATGTCCCTCGCGACGTTTCAACGCAGTTGACATGTAATTTCCTTTTTGGGACAAGCCGCTGCACAGAAACACAATAAGACAGCATCCCAACTCAGGATAAAGTCCAAGTGGTCTGCGTCCGGGTGTTATGATCCAACAACATGGAGTCGACATTGTCTATCTATCCTTTCTATCAACCGCCGTCGCCCCCCCCTCTCAGATATGTCTTACTCCCATTGCTCGACTTCGATAGTATCCTTTACCCGTCATCTCCACCATCGGCTCTACCCAACATCGAGGTTGTCCCTGGTGGCCCCGACCGCCATACCAGGAGGAAACTCACTATCTGCGGCCACCCATATCAGATACGCCAGCTGCGCAGCCCCAAGCCACCCGGCGATCGTGCTTATTCCTCCCCGCCGGAACCGGAGTCGAAGCTCATCCCCTCGACTATGCCTACATCAGCAACGCGTGCTTCTACGGTGCAGCCGTTCATTGCACCGCAGTTGGCGCCTCCTCGTCGCTCCTCATCACAGCCCCCTAGGCAGACGTCTGTCCCTCCTCGTCCCTCGTCACAACCTCCTCGCGCTGCGACACCTCGCCATATCTCCCGACAATCCCGAAAACTTGCACCGGGTCCCGGCCGTCTTCTTCCTGTGGTGGAGGAAGTAGTCGGGCTCCCATCCGAGGACCGGCGTGTACGCTGGAATCATTCCGGCGCGACTGATGAAGAAGAAGTAGACGAGCTTGAGCCGTCGGATGCTGAACCGCCTCTGAAAAAGCCTGCAGGGGACTGTGGCCGCCCCTCACGGGGTGGATACACGCTCGAGAGTGCGCTTGCAGTCACCGCGAAGGAGTACGCCAATATGAAGGTCAGGAGTTGGCTTATCTACCGCATCTATTCTGCCGCATCTATTCTGACGAGATTGTCAGGACACAATCAACGAGATTGTCGCGCAGCATTGCGACCATCGCAAACTATTGAGTGCTCAGACCGCTGAGGCAAGAAAGCGTGCACGTGCTGCGGTTGGAACCGCCTTTCCTGAGTTGGTCGAGCGCTACGTCGGTGCCTGGCCCATCGATGATTTTCTCAATGCACGCTTGAGATATACCGTGGGCCGTCACAGAGAGGGTCGCCCCGTTCCCCAGTCCAATAAAGATGTATCGTAGCTCAATCTAGTGGTACACGTGTATTCTTTTACGTTATGCAATGGAAATTGTCAAAGCACTCGATATAAAGTCCAGTTTGGGAAGGAAGGCCAAAAAATACTTCCCCGTACTTTTTACCATGCCCACCGAGTATTCCGAGTGGTCGGATGACTCTGGGGATGAGAGAAACCAGTCTGCCCCTCAATTGTTTGATCTACATACGTTCACAAGTCGCGTATTCCCTGAGTACATATTGGAAATCACTGGCATCCGCAAAGAGGAGAGCCGCAGACTGCAGGCACTGCGTACGTGGAGCGAGGTAACGGTTCCGGCCGTCTTTCAGAGACAATAACAGCTCATCACCATTACAGCGCCTCGGTCCTGTGCGCAAGTTTGTTTGGATTGCTGAACAGTGTGTCCGGATTTACTTCGCGACTGCCGACGGCCAGCGGGCTTCATGCCAATTTCGCGGAGGCACGGTTATTATCGACGGTGTCGGACGGGTGGGGCTGCTACCCCTGCAAACTTCGCCTTATTTGCACTCGCGACATGGTCGCATCCGTTCATTATTCATTAATGATGCTAGCTTTAAAATGTATTCATAACTACTCAATTATATGCTAGCAAGACGCGCAGAACGGCGAGGACCTGTGGTATCTACGTCGAATGAAATCTCTCGTGGCAAGCACGATTTCCGGGTGCGACAGACTTTGGCGAAGTCCCGAATGAACCTGAATAGAAGGAAGAGTTCAGATTAACCGATGGTTGAATAGAATGCACCTACAATCCAAGTGCCAAGTCGGCCAAAGCGTGGTCACGACTGCGCATGTTGACAATGCATCCGGGCCTGCGGACGCCGGCTCGCGCAACCAGAACGTCACCGCGGAAAGGAATGGAACCGGTAGAATTTCCAGGTAAACCAACGTTCACTCGCAGCCGCACATGGCGCTTGAAGAACACGAGGTATCGGTGGATGCGGGGACCTTCGTGCAAGGTGACGATACAATCGTGAATAAATGGCTGCACCCTTTCATCGTCAAGATAGCGCTCGAGTAGTGGAAATCGGGTAACAGTATCGTCGTCCACATCGAGTTTCACCCCCATAGGAGATGGCAATCGATGCGAGTAAATGCGTCCGGTGATTTTGAAGCTACGGATCTTTTGCAGAGGTCAGCATAGTAACGACGAGATTGATCCGATGGTACGACCTCTCCATGGGTGGGTGTGCAGCGGCGACGAGAGGACGGCATATTCTGATACGGGGTCAATGTGAATGACAAACGTCGCCGATGGTGGGCATTTTATGTCGACGAGATGATCGTCCAACTCCCCTGTGCTGCAACGACCGTAGCGTTGAGGGCCTCCGAGCTCCGCCGCACAGACAATACCGCACGGGAGCACCAATGGAGGCGGACTCGTTTACAATTGAACTCGGTGACCGGTCGTCGGTGAGTGTGAGGAAGGTACAACGGTCGTCGGATCAACGCAGAGTTTCTCGGAGACGTAGGCGTCCGGTAGCAAGAGACCACTCCCTCACTAAAAGACGGGACGTCGGCAATTGTGGGGAGGGTACTATGGTCGTCGAATTGACGCGGAACCTCTCGGAACACAGGCATCCGGTAGCAAGGGACCACTCCCTCACTAAAAGACAACGAGGGAATGCATTGTCACGGCGTCCACGCGTCGTAGAAAATAATAAGGATTGGCATCCGCAGGTGGTGGCAAAGTCGTCTCCTATTGTTGCGATGAGACCAGAGCACGTGATAGGTAACAATCTCTGCCATAAAGTTAAAACTGGGAGGGCGCTGAGCACAAAGCAGATACCTACGCCATGTCTGCTGAACATCCTGACTTGAACAGGAGCGGCAACCAAGCCAACAGTAACGATGTCTCCATGTCCGACGGTGACTTTGCGTCATCCGGCTCCCCGGGAGACGTGGACATGTCCGAGTCCGCCGTATGGTCCGGCACAGAGGTATGAGATCCTAATGGCGTCAAACCGCATGAGCTGACTTTCATAACTCAGGCGGCGCTGCTTGCGAGCGAGGTAGGATTTGCGGCGACGCACGCAAGCGGTTGGACGACGCCCGCCGCGATTCCGACATTGTCGTTGGCGGCTCCCCTCAGCCCAATGCCTATCCTCTTCGCACCGGCGGCCACTAGCGAGGGAAACGTATTCCCCATGTCACTGTCCACAACCCGGTTCGGCCCAGTGCCTGATCTCTTCGTACACAGACCTCCCAGTGAGGTTAACGTGCCTGGTGCATTCCCAATGTTGCCATCTCCAGCTCCTCTCAGTTCAAGTGCCGTCGCACCGGCATATCCTGCTGAGGGTTCTCGAGTATCGACACCGCTAGACGGACCTTCCTCAACGACGAATGAAGCAAACGAGGTAGATTGCATATTATGTCGTCCACTTCTCGGTCTAATCGTTTACAGAGCACGCCGCGCGCAAGGTCGGCAAGTGTAGCGCCAACCGAGACCTCGAACGATGGTGGTAGGTCCTGATACAGCTCACTTCTGCTGCAAGCTGAAGCCGAGGTTGATACACAGGCCATCCACGAGAGTTCACTTTCGTGTTGTCCCAGCCCGAAACCACCCGCGCGCAAAAGCGGGCACGGAGTGCGACACCTGCTACAGGCAGGAAGCTGACGCCGTCGCAGAGCGTCCAGCTGGAGCAAAATCATCGTCTCAGGAGGACGCTGGCGCAAAGGAACTCGACCCTGAGTGCCACCTCTCGGAGTATGATGGAGCTGAGGACGAGGACCCAGGAGATGGACGCCGCCACGCGAGATAGGCTGGTCGAGGCGAACAAGGAACTTGAGACGTTGAAGGAGGACTTAGCCAAAAAGGACGAGTTGGTGCAGGAGCTGCAGAGCCGGGTTTGCGTCGCTGTAACGAAGATGGAAGAGATGGAGGCAAAGATGGAGACACGGTTCGTGCGATTCTTACAGGTACGAACTCCTCATTACGGGTGAGGGAAAGAAACTCAACCAGGCTATACAGCAACTGGAGACCGCCAGACAAGCAACGGTCGCGGGCGACACCACCTCGCCTGCACCTCCGGTCAAAGACCCGTCGGTCCCGTCTTCAACGACGCCACTGATCGAACCAGCTCCACCATTGACGACATCGCCAATCGAACCAGCCCTACCATCGACGACACCGCCAGCCGAGCCACCTCGGCCAACAGATGCGGATGGGATGAACACTGGCAGACAGTCGGAACCAGGCCCACCACGTACAAGCTCAGGTCATAGGTCGTCCAAGGGGCCACCCGCTGGCACCTCAAGGATATATGAGTGGGAAGACACGGTGGTTGGGCGAGCATCGAAGGACAGGGCCGCGGCCAAACGATATAAGACGTCCCTGGAGCTCGAGATAGACGAGATGAAGGGGCCACGTCGTCTTTTTCAGCTCGTACGTTTATCATTGCCCTCTTCCTTCGACGGGGGCTGACGAAGTACCAGGCGATAGTCCGTCAGGTTTTCGAGAACGTAATCGGAGTCGGGATGGACAAGGATGCGATCCAGTTGATCGCACCCCCGGAAGCAGTAGTTAATGCATTCCTGGATGGTTCGACCGACGGCCCAACGGAGGCAGACTTTGTCAACTACGCGTTCACCGACATCTCGCCCGCCGACAACACTTGGAACCGCGCAGTATGTGCTATCCTCGCGCGGAAATGTATGGGGAGGCAGGATTCAGAGATATGGCAGGTTGGTAAACCTCTTCAACGGATACCAGTCGCAACCTTCCTGTATTGGGAGGACGCCGTTTACCACAAGTGGATGCGCTTGCGAACGGAGTGGATGAAGGCGAGACCTCGCTTGGTGCAGGATCCCAATGAACGGACATGGAGGCACGAGACGACTGCCAGGGGGGCAACGGGAAGGGATAGCAAACGAGATACGCGGTTGCGCAAGGACGCGAAGGATGAGGGCGATGCAAATCGCAAGCGAACTAGAAGAATGGCAGTAGGTCGATGAACCAGATGGAAATAGTCGTGCGCTAACGACATCCCCAGCGTCTCCACAGGCGCAAGAAAATTTGCCACCACAAGTATTGTACGTCGAAGAGTACGACCGAACAGGCTGTGTGGAAGGCGGCCGAGACTACCCTCGATAGGCTCGGTATTGATGGAATGAGTTCCGATGAATCCGACCTCGACGAAGACATGCATGTGGCATATCTCAAACCAAGCGTCATGCTTTGGCGCCGTGACATGGATGCATTCCTAGACGCCATCGATAGCTACCGCTTCGAAGGGGGAGGGGCATTTGCGAACCAAGGCACTAGACCGCTCCCTCGTCGCCGATCTGACAGAGCTACGGCGTGGTTGAAGGGTGCTCATCCGCAGGCTGACGATATCCGCGTTTCGAAGCGTGAGCCCGTGAAGGGTTTGACGCGATCGCTCTATGACGCAGCGTACTTGGAAGAGCATAGCGAAGCGTACATCAACGAAGTCCTGTGTCCCACAGAAGAAGAATGGGCTTTAGTAAATGTTCTTCCGTTCGGGAATTGACTTATAGTACTTACGATACGAGCAATTGCCTGTCTTGACTAGAATATAGGGGTGGGCAGACAGTGGTGATGACGAGGAAGGATACGACGACGATGATGACGGCTACACCCGCTAACCACATCCCGCAATCCACATCGCGGGGCGCAGGTGCGAGATCGAGAGAAGAGCATGCCCACCACGATAACGACAGTGAAGGCCACACCCGCAATCCACATTGCGGGGTGGGAGGGAGATCGAGAAAGATGACAACGACAACGACAACGACAACGACGACAACGACAATGACAATGACAACGACAACGGCGACAACGACGACAACAGCAAAGGACCAGAGAGGAGACGTTGACGACGACCACGGTGAAGGCCACACCCGCGATCCACATCGCGGGTGGGCCACCCGCCTTCACGTCGAGATTTCCGGCCAGATGATGAACAGATGAAGACGAATGAAGACGACGGGTGGTGTCGGGATGGGTGGTCTGTGCGGTGGCGAGATGGGTGGTCTGTGCGGTGGCGGGATGGGTGGTCTGTGCGGTGGTGGGATGGGTGGTCTGTGCGGTGGCGGGATGGGTGGTCTGTGCGGTGGGCGGGTGACCGACGAAGACCGGTGGCCTGTGGCGGAAACCGGAGTCATTCCCTCGCTCCCTCCTCCATCGATCGCCGTGGTGTGTAGACACCTAGTGCGTTTGGACCCTTTCGTGCCCGCTGTTTCCTTGGGGTGTGGACTCCAAGGGCGCAAGGGTACTTTCACTTGTCTCGGTGTGTGGCCGCCGTGACGAGTCCCATGAGCCTTGTTCTCTTTATGGTTACCTTTGGAGTTCGTCCCTTTCGGCTGGGTATGTGGATATCCGGCCTGTCTTGCCTCGGCGCTTTGGAGGAGTTGTCTTAACGACTGGGTATGTGGATACCTTGTCGTGGATGCCTTGTCTGGTGTTTGTTTCGTTGGCCCGACATCGTTGTACGGTATGTCGTTCTTCGTTGTTATATTTTCTTGTTATTGACTAACATATATATAGACCGATTCTTCCAGCAATCGCCCTTCATTCGCCATGCCTGCTCGACGCAGAGATCATCACTTAATCACAGACCGCTTGGATGCCTTGCACCTGCGATTGATTGGCCGACACCCTCCCCCCCTTCCGACCCCTTCTGTACCGAGACCTGTGGAGGACTCGGATGCAGCTGTCCTACAAGGTGATGGCAACCACGCTACACGTAGGCAGATGCGTATCCTCTCCAGCATCAACAAAGGGGTTGAGGATTGTCGGTCGAAGTTCACGCAACCAAGAAGCGTCGAGGTGTGCCTTGAGCTTCGAGGACGCTTGGCCGAGCTTCGATGTGCCGTACATCAACTTAATCGCCAAGTACCGTTGGTCCAAGATGGCAAGAGGGCCGCAGTGGCGCATATCGACACCCTGGAAGAGGATTTGGAGGAGTGGAACAGGTCTCTGGGTCCTCATCTACGATCCGTCATGTTCGACAGTGGTGAGTCTTGTTGAATTCTCACGTGGTCCGTCATAGCTCATAGATATCTTCCAGCTCATCACTTCAGTCGCCCTATCGGCCGATACACCCCCCTGGCGCAAGCCTTGATGACTATCGCATTCATTTGCCACATTATCATGGGCATTGGTCGACGTGACGTGGAATTCATCATCGGCGCCATGATACTTTGCATGGACGTGGCTACGTCCCGCCCGGGAGACTCGTCGCTTCATTCGTCATATCAACAGCTACCAACATCCCTCCAGGCTCTGCTATCAAAATTCGGCGCCGGCGGCAACTTCATTGTATACGCCGTTTGTCCTTCCTGCCATCAGACGTATCCACCCTCCATCATGGGACGGTACCCCGAGGTTTGCACCGGCAAGCCGTCGCCAGAAACGCATTGCCGTCAACATCTAGTCGATAGCAACGGCGATCCACTGAAGACGTACCTCTATCATTCATTCCCCGATTATCTCTCTAGCCTCCTTTCGGATCCGGACCTTGAGAGGGTGATGGACGAGTCGACGGCTTCAATGACAGATCCATCCTTCATGGACGCCGACGACGACACCATCAGGAATCCCTTCCATGCCTCCTTCCTCCAGGGATTCCTAGGCGCGGACTCGCACCCATTCATACGAGACATTCCCGACAACGGTCGCTTCGTCTTCTCGTTATGCGTAGACTTCTTCAATGTTGAAGGGATGAATATTCGTGGTGCCCGTACATCGTGTGGCATAATAGCGCTAGCCTGCTTGAACCTACCTATTGAAATACGATACAAACCACAGAACATGTATCTGGCGGGTATCATTCTTGGACCCAAGGAACCGGCCCGCACTGCGACAAACCATTACATCCGTCCTCTCATCGACGATATGCTCAAGGCATGGCATCCTGGCATTTACATTTCACGAACCGCTCTTCGCCCGCATGGCCGCTTAACGCACAGCGCGATTGTTGTTGGCGTATGCGATCTACCCGCTGCTCGTAAAACGTCTGCCTTGGCCCCATCCATCTCCAAGATTTTCTGCTCGACGTGCACCTGTTGGAACGTCACTGACGACGACGGTAATATCATCCGAGGCTGGCGGGACCTCCTTCGTCGCACGGATCACCTTTCGTGGAGCCGTCGGGATGGCCAAGAGATGCGATGGCATGCGGAACAATGGCGCAACGCAACCTCGTCGAGGGAACAGGACGAAATTTTCAAGCGTCATGGAGTGCGTTGGTCCGAATTGTGGCGCCTGCCCTACTGGGATCCTACTCGCCAGCTCGTTGTTGACCCAATGCATTGCCTGTATGAAGGCTTGGCGAAATTTCATTTCTGCACTGTGCTGGCTCTGTCCGAGTCAAATGCAACGGTTGCACCTAAATCTCAGCCGGCGTTCGTGTTCCCCTTTGCGCTTCCACCCATTGAGGATGAAGAATGTGACGTTGGCGACGACGCGTCCACCGACGTCATGGACGTTGACGATCTTACCTCGACCAGTCAGGACGGGCCTCAGATCGGCGACCAATTAGCTGTTGAATACCCTGCTGAGGTGTCCGACGTGGGTTGGACACCGAAGCAGGTGCAAGATCTGTTCAAGACTCATGATCTGCTCACCTCCGCCATTCGGGGCTCGGAGGATTCAGACGGTCTTTCCTTTGACGAACTTCGGGCCCACCTTGTGAAACGGCTAGCTCTTTCTCTAGACTTTGTCGCCCATGATTTGGGCCTTGACGTCAAAGCGAGCGGGAGACGATCATATCCCACCAAAAAAGAGTATGTATCTGCGTTGATTCAGTGGGTTAGTTGTTCTCTCGTGTTGCGTGAAGGGTCATGTTCTGACATTCGGTTACAGCGTCGTCTTCAACCACTTCGACCCCCCGTCCGACCTGTCTCCTCGAACGACGTATTAACCCGAATTCGTTCCGTGGCTAAGGAAACCACGAAACCATCCTGGGTGGAAGGCATTCCTGAGGATTTTGGTGCCGCCGCAGCCGGGACACCGAAGGCTGCCGAATGGCGCACACTTTTCAGGCTTTATCTACCACTTGCCCTAGTCTCCTTACTGTCGCAATCAACCTCACCTCATTTCATGGCGACCGTTGACAACACCATGGAACTCGTGCTTGCATTGATTGTAGGCTGCCGCGGGACGACTTCCCGACGTCGCGCCGATTCCTACCGCAATCATTTACGCAGCTATATCGAAGGGCTGAAGACTTTGTACCCCAACCTGCAACTGAATTCAATCCACCACCTCGCTTTCCACATTCATGATTTCCTCACGCTTTTTGGCCCCGTTCCATCGTGGTGGTGTTTTCCGTACGAGCGACTCATTGGGAAATTGCAGCGTACGAACCACAACCATATCTTCAGGGAACTGGAGGCCACGATCCATCGTACCTTCGTCTATTCCGGCGGTCTCCTACGATGGCTCTCGCGACCTTCATGTCCAGATATTGTCCGGGCATGCAAACGTCTCTAGGACACAGTATACGCTCCCAAACGGGACGATTTTGTGGCGATGGCTGACGAGGAGGACACATACGCAAAACCGGCTCCGGTACCCGACGACCTGAAGGATATATGTCGTGGCTACACGAAGATCATCCTACGTCGTCACTTGCGATACCACCGCCAGGTCTTCAGTTGTCGTCGAGCTCACATGGGCAACAGCCTCATTACCTACCAGTTAGGCCCCCAAAGCCAAATAGCATCTATCGAGTACATATATCTCTACTGCGGTACTTGGATGTATGCCGTCCGGAACTTCAAAGGTTTGGAGCCTGGCCCGTTTGCAAAGTGGCCGGAATTAGGAGCGTCAATTTGTTCAGCCGATATGGATGAAGACCTCGTACCTGTGGACCCCCAGATCGTTGTGCAACATGTCGCCACCTATCCCTTGTCTGATAGCACCCTTGCTGTCGTTTGCTTGATGCCATCGGTATGGTCATTGCTATCTTCACGAATTATTTCTTACAGTATACTTTTCCAGTCTATTTAGACCCATCTGACCACCATAGGAGTCGATTTATGCCCGCCTGCCTGCCTGACGCGAGCGTGTGGTCGCTCGCCGTCGGCCAGCGCATTGCTGCCCTATCTCGCCCCTTCTGTCGCATGCGCGGCAACCGACGTCGATCCACTGGTAACACGGTGGACGATCACGTCCGCGCTCACGGGTCGTTGACTGCCCGCTCACGGGTTGCTGACTGCCCACTCACGGGCCGCTGATTGGGTCAACCAATGTGGACTTTTCTTGTATTTAAAATATGCCACTCATCCGTCGCAAAACGAATTCTTCAAATTCTAATCTCGATTCCGTTCTTGCGCATTCTTGAAATCCTAATGTAGTATATATGCCCATCCAATCTTGTAATATGGTTGTACATACGCGCATTGCGCATACTCAAAATCCACACCTCACCCGTTTTGAAATAACTAATTGCGCTATTAAATACATGAATACTCGAAGTATTAAAACTTCTTCCGAATCCATCGGTAAAGTGAACCAATCTCAAAATTCGGTTTTGTATCCGGTTATAAATCCAAGGCTAGTGCGAACTTCATAC